CGCTGGTCGGACAGCTGGGCGAGGTGGTCTTGTTATGCAAGCGCGTCCTGCATCGAGCCTGGTGTATGCGCAGAGGTTCCGCGAAAGGGGATGTTCGATGCATCGGTAGATGCCGCGGCGTCCGACCCATTTCCCAACAATGCCCGACCCGTTTATTATTAGATGCGCAGTCGGAGATACAAGCCTGTCGGCCGAGCAGCGCCGCGACGCGCCGGAATAAAGAGGACACGCGAGCCGGTTCGCATCGCGTGCGAACGCGTGTCTGTCCGATACACTCACCGGCAAAACGACAACACGTGTCCGCTGTCTTTAATTATTCCGAACGTTGTTTAATTATTTCGTTCTTTTTTATTTCCGGAAAATCGTACGGAAACGTCGCGACGCGAAAGAAGGGGAGTTTCACCTTGCAGCGGATCGTCCAATTCGACTTTCGTTTTAAGCGAGGGAAACGGGTAAACTTGGAGGTCGAAATGATAGCAGTAATTACGAATTGTGTAAAAAGGAAAATTACGGGTTTATGTGTTGACACGTTCGCTACCAGCGATGCTAGCGTGCATAATTATATTTATTGCATTTTTCGTATTAAGTATGATAAAAATGTCGTCGAAGAGAAGCTATAAATTCCCTGAATGCTATGTTATATAGCTAAATTCCCTTTAATTTGAGGACTGAATGAAGTCCCCACGATTTATACAATTTATACGGAAAAATAATTGTGATATACAGTCGCCTCGGAAAGTACGTCAACGCCGTTTCAAACGGAATGACTTTTTTGAAATTCGTTCAAAGGATTCGGATATTTTTGAGATGTTAGACTGACTAATTTTCTATGAAACGAGTATACAAAAAGTTTTTTAGATTGCAATTGATTGGAATGATAAAAAAATTAAGAAGCGATGTTTTTAAAATCTTTTCATCGTTCCAATCAACTGTAATCTAAAAAACTTTTTGTTCTTCCTTTTCATAGAAAACAGGCCGGTCTAGCATCTCAAGAATATTCAAGTCCTTCGAGCCAATTTTAAAAAAGTTATTCCGTTCGAAGAGGCGTTAAGATATTTTCTTCGAGGCGACTGTAGTTCTGTATCTCATCCACGAAGAAAAGACCAAATAAAATGAAAATGAGCCAGACAGCCATTGCATCGAAGTGCACAATAATTTCAGTACTGAATGCATGATCATGCGGCTTGTAAAGAATGCAACGGCACTGTTGTCATTTCGCATCGCACAATGAAAATGAACGCGTCCGCGAACGTGTCAAAGATAGCGCACGCATTTGTTATCATTTTGTCCGGGACTGTAGCTAGCTGGCTAGCTAGTTAGCTCGCTTCCTTGCTCTTGTCCTGCAGCCTCCGCAGCCTTCGCTCCCGTTTCTGCCGCGGAACAGAGGGCCGCAGATGCAACGGATCGCGTTCTACCCGGCTGACTGCGTGATTTCAATGATTCAGGAACAAGCTGGCGTGCAGCACAGCGCGCGGGACCAGTAGCTATTCATTTTCCGATTCGATTCGCGATTAGAACGTGCCTCGAGTCTCGACGGCACGTGGACTGGCAAGGTTGAAGGGGCTCGCCGCCGTTCGAGCCTCTCGGCCGCCATTGTTGCTGCGAATCTTTCGCGAACGCTCGAGACTGTTACTTCCTTCCTTCCTTCCTTCCTCCTTCGTCTTCTTCGAGCCCGCCTTCGTTCGCCGCCGATAGAGATCCTTTGATAACACGGGTATTCAGAGTGGACTAGTTACGAAACTTGGTTATCGGTCTCCGCTCCTCACGGGTCACTGGTTCCAACCGAGGAATCGATAGCGAAATTTTGAGATGAGAGGACTTTCTCGGCGCCGCTCCTCTGCTGACAAGTGTACGGCGCGCGGATAAAAAACACAAAATAATACTGCTTGCGGTCCCCGACGTCGCAGAAACGCGTAGCGATTTCTAAGGAACAAATCATTTTTCCCGGAAATGCCCAATTTCGGGTTGCTGTGAATTTCCCTGTGTTAGTTCTACGCCTATGTAATTTTCGGAAGACAGCACGAAATGGTCTGTTTGGGTGGGAGTTAGGTAAGAAAAACCACGGAGATACAAGGTATAGGAAATTCTCCCTAATTCGTGCTCAGATTGTGTACAAAAATGGACAATTTGGGAAGAGGAGATACGATTATTCGACTCTTGCAGCTCGTTTTTATAGTTGTTGATAATCGGCAATTTTTTTTTTAGATAATAATTTCAGAAGCAATTAATGCACAATATTAATTCAAATAATTTGTCGAATCACGGATAAAATTGTTGTCGTCTTTGAACAATTTTTTAAGAAATCGAAATACACAAAATACAAATCTAAGAAGCAGGAAACTTTACAAGGAAGGACACTTTACATGTATGTACCTGTGTGAAATTAGTATCGTAGACTAGGTTCGATAACGAATCATCTCCTCTTCTCAAATTATCCATTTTTGTGCATAATCTGAATTTACTATAAATGGTAGGTAATGAGTACGTGACCGTCGAATCGTGTCATGTGGCCTTCGAATTGCCTTTAAATCGTGCCATGTGGCCTTCAAATTGCCTTCGAATCCTGTCATGTGACCTTCAAACTGCCTTCGAATCGTGTTATGTGGCCTCTGAATTGCCTTCGAATCTTGTTATTTGGCCTCTGAATTGCCTTCGAATCGTGCCATGTGGCCTTAAAACTGCCTTCGAATCGTGTCATGTGGCCTCTGAATTGCCTTCGAATCGTGTCATGTGGCCTCCGAATTACCTTCGAATCGTTTCATGTGGCCTCCGAATTACCTTCGAATCCTGCCATGTGGCCTCCGAATTACCTTCGAATCATGTCTAATCGTACCTACTATTCGTATCTACTTCTGCATTAAACGTGGCTCGCATAGCTGTTACCCACAAGAAGTGCTAATTCAGCTAGCTGTGAAAGAAACTGTAGCGCGATGTATTTAATGCCCGTCAGTATGAGAAATCGTACGTCTACTCGACGATGAAGTATAATCGAGATTCTGTCAGATTTCGATGCAAGAAATTATGCGCCGGTATTGAAACGTTACTCGGCCACGGCGCCAATAAAACACAACCGGAATCCCAGCTAAACAGCAACGGAATTCCGCTGGAATTCCAATGGGATGAATTACACCGGGCGAACGGGGATCCATATTCTGCCGAAAGTTCAATCAACCAGAAGCGGAATTCCAAGTGAACGTCAAAGGAATCTTAACAGAAATTCCCGGCAGTAAATTACTTGAGCCCGATGGAGCTGATCGCCGGCCAAGACTTTCGCAGAAGCTTTTCTAATCGGACCCGGAACCAGGAAATCTACTCTATTTACAGTACGCGACACTAAGTCGAACCTAACCCAGATCTAAACCCAGATCCCTGTCGTGTCAGTCAGATCTAAGCTAGATCGAAGGCAAATCTAATCCAGGCTCTCGACAACCATAAATTTAGAAATCCAAAGCTCTCGAATTTTGAATGCGGCACACAACCAACATCAAAGGACCAACTACTGTTATGGTTCTGTTCTCAGCAATGGTTTTTCCTCACCTCGAATACGGCTTTGAAATATGCAATCCATCTCAGCAATGCTACTCTGATATGCTAGAAACGGTCCAGCATAAATTCCTGAGATATGTATCCTTCGTAGCTAATGATCCCATGTCTCTTCCTCTCGCATAACTACGGCCCTATTCTAAGCTTACAAGGCATCTCTACACTCAATCACAGAAGAACCATCGCAGATTTGCTGATTTTATTCGGAACCATAAATGATATAATTGATTGACCGTCTAGATTAGAACTTTTTAAACAGAAAGTGCCTCCGAATCAAAATTGTGCAACTAGAGTGGCTAGAATTGCAATCGAACTGAGTACGGTAAATTCTCCCACATTACCCCTCAGCTTGGAAACAAGAATGGTAAACTTGGGAAGAGGAGATGCGATTATTTGACCCTTGCAGATCGTTTCTACAGTTGTTGATAATCGGTGACTATAAAAATCGTATCTGCTGTTCCTAAGTTATCCATTTTCGTTTACAATCTGAAGGACAATTTTAGAGAATTTACGGTGACTATTTTTATATTTTCAATATTTCTCGTCGTTTCTTAGGGCTTAATGTAACCCTTGTCTAAACTGTACTTTAAAGGGGCTTATAAAGCTCGTAAAATACAATATAATATAAATTTTATTATTATTATTTTGTATTTTACGAGCTTTATAAGCTAATATATAATACTATATATATAATAATATAATTATTATTAATAATAATACTATAATAATACAATGTAATATAAATTTTATTATTATTATTTTGTATTTTACGAGCTTTATAAGCTAATATATAATACTATATATATAATAATATAATTATTATTAATAATAATACTATAATAATACAATGTAATATAAATTTTATTATTATTATTTTGTATTATTATAGTATTATTATCAATAATAATAATATTATTATATTATTATAGTATTAGATATAAAAATGGTTACCGTAAATTAACAATAGTAATAATAATATTATTATTATTAATAATAATAATAATAATAATAATAATTGCAAGTAAATTCTAGTGATTACTGTGAACCGAATCTGACAGGATTTACGTTTTCGATCTCTGGCCGGAACAGCGCGAGAATCCGAGGAAAGGAAAATGGCGGAAGTCGCGGGACCGGTCGGAAATTCGTCGGCGAAAGTCTGTTAAGCACGTTTGCGTGCATTATGCATCCGTGCAGCGCGACTTCGCAGCTGCGCGTGGCTGGATCCAGGAGTCGGTGGTGTTTACCGAGGACGGATTCGCAGGACGTGGGGGGTTGAACGGGAACGAAGCGGGGGCGGCAGGAGGAGCGGGAAGGGGGCTAAACCGTGGGCAAACACGTTCGTTCGACGGAAAAGTATGTCATAAGCGAAATTCCGTTTGAGTTTGTTAGGCATCCTCCCACCGTGGATACCTCCTTCCGCTCGGAAATTCTTAAAATGCACGGTACGCTGCACTCACCCTTCGGCGCGCCGTGTACACCTGCGCTTCTCTGCGGCACTCTCTCTCTTTCTCTCTCTTTATCGCGCGTCTTTGGATTCCGCCTCTCGCCGAGATTCCGAGAGCTGGCCTGCTACCTGGAAACAAACGGGAACGCGGTTAACCACCGCCGGTTGAAATATTGCCTTTTGATACTTTCGCGGATCCCCGACGAAAACGGGGGATGAAACTACGCCCGATGCTTTCCACCGCGGGCTACGGTTTATACAGACGGTTCCGGATTCCTGAGGTTCCGCGGGATACAAGTTTTACGGCGGGACTTTGACGAAGGATTTCTCTTTCGCCGTGGTTATGGTTGCATCGCGATGGTTACTCGTTTCCGCGGAGTTATTAGGTCGGCGGATTGGTTCCTGAACGCTGGTTGACGGTTTTATTAGGTTCGTGCGGAAAGAATTTCGTTCGCTTCGGAATTGTCGGCGTTAGACTGCTGGGGCTTTCAGACAAAATGAGATTTGTCCGACTTAGCTGCAAGACACCGGAGGCAAACCATCTTAGTTTCATTTAATTTATTTGTATGTGTGTCATTTATCTTATATTTACGTCATTTATTTTATATCTACGTCATTTATTTTATATCTGCGTCATTTATTTTATATTTACGTATTTTATATGTATCTAATTTATTTATATGTACTTCTGCTTAACTGTAGCTAGCATTCAATTTTTCTTAAAAATTCATACAATTTACAGTCTAGCCACTTTGAAGCGACCATTGTTAGGCTGCTCATCTTTCTGCAAAATGTCTGAACTAGTTGCAAAAAGCAGGGGCAGACTATTTTGTCTATCTTTTGATAATTGTAACAACTTGTTGATAATTAGACTGTGGATTATTATGCAAAATACAAATTTTCTGGATTGATTGCAAGATCAGGGAGCTGCATAGAGATTTATTTATTTGCTTAATAATTGTAATGACTTCAATGTGATACAGCAGTAATTATCATATTCTTGAAATTTTTTTCACCGATTGCAATTTCGATCTAATCATTTTTGTATTTAATAATAATAATATTCGATATTGTTTGAACATTCAGATCTTTCTTCTGCTTTCAGCTGCACCTATTCAATTTTCTTAAAAAGATCATTAGACTGTAGATTTCATGTATTTATATTATACAAATGAGGAGGAAATTGATGACACAAATACAAAACAGTAATATATTTAAAGAATTTAAAAATACTGTTGCATTATTTTCATCTCATTAGTGCAGACGACTTTTTATTTTCAATAAAATTTATAGTCTAACAGACATCACGTTTCAAACACATTTTATGTGCGTAGATAGGAACTGCAGTATAGCGTGTAGGTAATATGTATTGCCAATAAGAAAGAATTGGTTGAGATGCAATTTCAGAGATACCAAATGATTCTCGATGCATCAAATGAAATCTCCGATAGCACGTTAAATGCTTCTTGGCTAAAATATTCCTTCATAAGAGTCTGTCAAACTGCTTCGATTAAGGTTGAAAGGACTTTCCGTGATTCTGTATTCAATTTTAATATTCCCTTCTTTAAAAGTCATTTTCATAAATCAGCGCTAATTCTCGCATTAAAAAAATGTTTCTGAAACGTGGCATCGAACAACAAATAACGTATTAACTCGATCTTCCCGCAGTTTCTTTCAAACTTTCTTTTATAAATTCTGTCCCGATATTAATCGTAGCTTAATATTTATTCGAAGCTTCCGGCTAAAAAAAAAAGCATTCGTTTCCCCCGGAGTATCGATTCACTTGTGTATTTGAGATTCCGTTTCTTGTTAGGTGCTGCGGGGTTGATTTCACCCCTTTCGACCAAATGTTTCATTAAAGCTGGAACATCCGAGCCAGAGCTCTACCCTGGTAAAAAATTAATTTTTTTTAAATTAAAAAAAAATTAATTTGTGTCTAACGTTTCGGCTTCTTATTAAACTTTAAGGTCGGACATTTCCGCTAGCTACCAAACGTTTCATTAACGTCGAAATAGTCCGGTTGCGACGGTTTCCCTGCACGAGAGAAATTTGCTTGCGTCTTTAAAATCTGACTTCTTATTAAACTTAGACGCTGACCTCTCTCGGCCCAAGTGAATGTTGCCGGAATTAGAATTTCCCTGTCCGTATTTTTACCTTCGTGAAAGCGAAGAGACGTTCCGTCCTTAACCCTTGCGTTGGGAACCCTTGCGGTGGCACCTCTTCGCCGTAAATTCTTTAAACAAATTTTTTTGTCCTTCCCGTTTTGAACGTCAAATTCTGAAATCAGCGAGCAATTCCGCTTGGACTGATTCCACTAATTTATTATTATAATTTATAATTTATAATTTATTATTGTTATAATTTCATTTTATCGTATTTTGCGTTGGATTTCTGTGTAACGAAGTATTCTGTTCTGTTGATTCTGTAATTACGAAACAAGAATGAGTTCTCTTTTATTTTTCTGTTTCTTTTTTTACTGCATACAATTTATCGCTTTTTAGAAAAATGTCGCTTTTCGGAGCAATCTCGAACATGACATAGTTCAATCGTCGTTACTTTAATCACGACGTATAAATAAGGCAATTTATTTCAGTGATCTTATAGCTATTATTAAGTGGTTTTATAGTTAAATTTTTATTCGATTAAAAAATTACTCGCTACTTTCGAAAAACTTCGCTTATTCGAATAGAAAATTATTCGTTACTTTCGAATAACTTCGTTTAGTCACGGCTTTTATTCGAAGATTATTCGAGCAAACATTTATTCGAATAATACTCAACTCTGATCGAGGCAAAGCGTAGACATAGAGTGTGCGTGTGTGCGTGTGTATGAGAGAGAGAGAGAAAGAGGGAGACTCTGGTCCGAATCTAGAGGTCTGAAGAACCCGGGAGCGAAAGGAACCCCCCGCAGCCCACTCGACGAAACAATTGCCTCCAATTTCGCCATCGAACGAATCCACGTCGTCATAGATCACGGCCAGACAAATGCAATATAGAGTGTCGAGCGGACGGCCGGGAGGGTCCGAAGAGGAGATGAAGAAGGATCCTCTATCCTCCGGAGCCGGAATCCTCGCGGAGCCTCTTGCACCACGTCGAAGATCGGCGTCGCTCGCCGAGCCACGTGTTCAACGAGCTGGCTAATCGAAACCGCTTCCCGAGCTAACCACTTAACTCGAGAGAAAGAGAGAGCAGAGAGAGAGCGAGAGAGAGAAAGAGAGAAAGGGGAAGAAAGAGAGAGGCGAGAGGATGCCCATCATCTGCCCTCGTTTTCTCAGTTCGCGCTCCTCCACGCCTACCTTCGGCTATTATTCTTCCGCAAGGATCGACCATCGAGTGTCCTTTCGACGGCGTGTTGCATTCTGCTAGGCCAAGTTGCTTCGTCCGCAACGCAGGCAGGAAGCACTGATTTTCCGAAGGTTCCTTCCATCGCTATTGACGTACTAGCAGCCATTGAAACGCCTCGCAACGTGGGGTGTTGCATTTCACACCTTGCCTCGCGACGATCGGAGACGTCCCGGAGAATTATTTTTATGTTCTCGACGTCGAATAATACGCTTGAACTGTTCATGTTTTCACGACGCTTCGAAAACGTTCATTTATTCACATTTGAAACCGCAGACTTTTTTTTACACTGACTTTGAAAATGTTAACGTCCTCGTGCTACCTCCATACTGCAAACTTTTGCATAGTATTCAAACTGCAAACCTTTTCATATTATTCAAAACGTTTTCATATTATTCTAACTGTAAATGTTTTATATATTATTCTAACTGTAAATGTTTTACATATTATTCGAACTAAATTCGTTTTCATATTATTCGAACTAAATTCGTTTTCACATTATTCGAACTAAATTCGTTTTCATATTATTCGAACTGGATACGTTTTCGTGCTGCGGCGAAAGTGCAAATGTTGAGGTAAGTGTGAAAGTAAATGCTTTTATAATATTTCAAATAGTAAACGTAATCATAATATTCAAAGTGAAAACGTTTTTTCATGCTACATATTATGCAAGTGTAAATGTTTTCATAGTACTCAAGGTGCGAGCGTTTTCACGTCACTATATGAAAGTATAAACATTTTCTTGCTGCTGCTACGAAAGTGTGAACGTTTTCATAGTATGTATGCACTACGGAAGCGTGGACGTTTTCATGCTGCTATGAAACTGTGAACGTTCTCATGCCAGTTTAAAATTGTAAACGTTTTCGTGCTAGTTTCAAACTGTAAACATTTCCATAACATTCTAACTATAAACGTTCTCAAAATATTGAAACCATAAACGTTTATCATAACATTCGAAGTATAAACGTTTCCATGATATTCAAACTATAAACGTTAACGTAACATTCTAGCCATAAACGTTTTCATAATATTCGAACTAGAAACGTTAACCCTTTGCACTCGGAACAGATTTTGCAAACATTGAGATTTCGTTACATAGAGTTGAATTGAAAGAAATCGTCATGATGCAGCTCGAAAATTTTATAGCAACTGATAAATAAAAGATTCTTTTATTTATGCATTTTACGCGATCACCTTACAGTACGAAGGAAAATAATAATTAAAAACAGATGCCACACTTTGACGCGAATATGTATATTGCATCGCGGTATCGGCGACATCCGAGTGCAAAGGGTTTACATAACATTCTAACCGTAAATATTTCCATAATATTCAAAGTGTAAACGTTTTCATGCCGTCCTGAAAATGTAAACGTTTCCATGTTGCTCTAAATTATGAACGTTTCCATGCTACTTTGAAACTGCAACCGGGGGCTTTCCGGTCTGATGCATTTTTCAGTAGGTAATAGTTTTTAAGAGCCCGGAAATATTCGCGTAACTTCTTCAAACATATCAGCCGTCCCCTCAAAAAAACACGAAATAATAAATAAATTATTTATGCAATTATTTAAACGATTTTTATATTAAAGTTTAAATATTGATTTAAACTTTAATACAAAAATCGTTTAAATATTGGAAATAATATAAATTATGGAGATAATAATGCAATAATTATTATTTGCAGACGAAATATGCAGACGAAATAATATTTTATATTAAAGTTTAAATCTTGATTTAAACTTTAATACAAAAATCGTTTAAATATTGGAAATAATATAAATTATGGAAA